CGGCGTGTGTGTGTGTGTGTGTGTGTGTGTACACACACACACACACACACACACACACACGAAAAGGTGGAAGTACCCATACCAACTCTAAGAGGCTAATTAATTAAGATGAGCTATTATCAGCAGGAGCAAAAAAACCTTTTGTAGTGATAATTAAGACGGCCCATTTCAGACAGTTGACAAGAGGTGTGAAGATACTTAACATGGGGAAATAGATTCAATCTGTGTAATGACTCAGACAGTATTTATCCATTCACGACCAATGCCGTCCTTAGCGTATGGGTAAATCCCACTAGGTTAAAATTGCCAAAGTCTGGGAGAAAAGGAGTAAGTGTTCCCAAGAATTTCCTCCATTATAATAATCACTGACAAAGTAGGAGCCTTCCCTGTTCTAATCCATACAAGCCGTGAGCCCAGCACTATTGATTTCAGACCGTAACTGGTGCCAGTCGTGGGGTGCAACAAATCATTTGGAACAACTGAAAGGACTTTCATTGTAACTAGTGGCTAGTGGAGGACGAGGTAACAGCAGCTGATGCGTATAGCTATCCTGCATGATAATATCGATCCCCTCTTATCCAAAGCTCTCACTGGTCCTTAATCACTTCTCGGAACCCCACTGTCCCCATTTCACAGCTGCAGAACTGAGGCACAGAGAGGGGAAGTGACCCAAAGGTCACCCAGAGTACGTTGCCAAGCCAGCTTTAGAGGCCAGGCCTCCTGGCTCCACAGCTGTGCTCCAACTGCAAGAGCACTCTGCCTCCCAGCTACAGAAGTATCCTGCCTACCTGGCGATCACATCACCATACAGATATTCATTTGGGAGGCCCCATACGGCCCCTGCAGTTACTGACAAGGCGCCATTAATGTCTCACAGCTTCTCTGTGTAAGTCTCTGGAGGACTCTTTACTCTCTCTGCCTAGAGTTAGCTTGAGCACAGACAAACTCCCTCCCTTTGCACCAAGTCACTGCATGCCATGTGATTAACAGGGGCATCAGGCTGCGATGCAAAAAGGCAGCTACTATGGCCACCAACTTCCTCCAGCCTGCCTATGCTGCACCTTGTCCCTTGTGAAATGCAGGGGGGATCCTACTGGCCCACCTCCCAGGGCTGTGGGAAGGGAGCTTGCACAGCACTGTGAAGATGAAGAGCCCCAGGCTGTTCTCTGTGATCTTGACAGTAACTCGCTTACTCACCTGGTTGATTAGCTGCTCTGGGGCTGTCCCGGGAGCAAGCTTTCAGGTCCCATCTCTGCCCCGTGCCAACACCAGCCCACGTAACACTCCAAACAAGCCGCCTGCCTTTCGGCCTGGCTCACCTGAGTGACTGGTTTCAGCTGAGGCCCCCCAGAGCAGCCTGTTGGTCTGCCACTATTTTTATCAGAATTTCAAAGAACTCTCCAGGGCACAGTTCCCTTGCACTGGATATATTTAGGCCAATTGATGTCACAGGCAGCCTAGGCCGCTCCACTCTGCTCCAGCTGCTCGCCCTGCAAACAGGACAGAGTTTCTCATTGTGAAATGGGGATCACTGCTTGTTTCCAAGTGGATTTTACAGTTCAGGGAAACTAATCATTGCACCGGGGACTGCAGAGCACCCTTTCCTTGTCAAAGGTACATTTCAGCTGCATATAACGGGCTGCCTTTCACAAGACTTGGATTCTGAGGGGAAGCGGGGAACTGGATGATAGGAATCCAGCAAGAGCTGCGAGTGGGTGTCCGGCTGCCTCCTCTGATCAGAGAGCATTGATTCTAGCACGGGACTTGCTTCGTTACATAATGCATGGAACTGTGGTAGCAGCTGTTGGGTGTAGGACTGTGCGGGAGGAGTCTGAATGCAAAGAGTAGCAATACCTTGCTTTCTAGGCAGTGCTTCCCATTGAAGAGTTTGATTATCATTAGACAAGAGATGAAATGCTAAATCGTGCTGTGAGTATATTTTCTGTTTGCTTGTCCAAATATTGCTTCTTTCCTATAATGGTGGCAATTTTCAGCTTCAAATCACTTCACAGCTCAGTGAAGTCACCTACTCCCAAGGATATTTTGCAGAAACTTGCATTCCTATCTCCTTGGATCTGGCTGTCGGAGCCTACTTGCAGCTCCCTGGAAGAGCTGTTTCTTTTGGCCATCAAAAGAGGCCAATAAATGCAGTGTGTGCATGCAGCACGACGTTTTCAGTGTAATTAATACAGGGATTCTGTACCAAGACTCTTCTAGGGGGTCAAGAATCAGGGTTTTGTGACTGACATTTTTGTCCATAGGTCGGATGAGACAGACACAGGTAGCACTTGATACAACACAAGAGAATCCATACCTAAGGAGGTGTTTCTGATTGGTTCTCATTGGGTGTTTCTGCCACTTTGTAGTCACGCTCTGCACAGCCTCATAGACATCTTCGGGGTCTAGAACAATTCTTCAGTTACTGGCTTTATGACGACCACACCTTTGTATTTAAAGTTACAGACTGATTCAGAAGAAATCAGATAGAAATAACATAGAACAACTTAACTATAGCATTGGAACTGGAACTCTGGGTACTACAGGATCATGTTCACCCTACTGTACTGGGGTTTCCTTGCAGGGACAGTCATTACCCGGTATCGAGTCTCCAGGCAGTTTCCATGATTGTAAATCTCAATCAGATGAGCAGGGACTAGAACAAGAACGTATTAGATGAAGCGTTAGCCAGGTGGAGTGCCCACTCTGCCCGGTGCTGTAACTGCATGATAGGGACAGGATCTAGGCCTGGGTCTTTTTAAATAAAACCTATTGTACCAGGATTGGCACTGGTGATATTACCTCATTAGTGGTGGTGATTTTGCTGCTTTCCTGTCATAACTCCTGACACAGAATGTGACCTGTCCCCCACAGACAGAGGCGGTAGCCATGGGCAATGAGCTTCCTCGGAGAGACTGTCAGAAATGAAACTTGAAATCTGATTTTCTAGCCTGTACGATCTGCCTTTTATAAATACAGTTAATGCGAGAGTAAAATAGAGGTGATAGGGCAGAAATTCTTCCACCTTTGACCTCTTCTTTAACTGCTGCTGCATCTTTCCCAGCAAAGGGCAGCTGCGATCTTAGAATCTTCTCCTTGCCTGGTGGAAGGAGTGACGCTGTCATATAGAACGAGGATATGCTAGCCTAGTCCTGCACTAAAGAAAGCTCTCTCAAGGAGGAGGAGCTGGTTTCTCTTTGGCAGACTAACTAAAATATGTCCAAAGAGGCTATTGCCTGGCTCTCACTACAGACTGGACACAAAAGTCAGACAGGTCAGAGGATTCTTATTTCACACTATGAGGCAGATGGAGGCACTTTCTAGTTTGCTTCTGCTAAATGGCAATTTCAGAGCCAGCGGCTGATTTGATGGCACTGCTTATCTACATTTTAAAAACCTCACACTCTCTGCTTAAGGCTCTCGGGTGGCCAGTGCTCCAAGACGCTGATAGTGCCTGGCTGTCCCCCTTCCTGCGATAAGATGTCCATCACAGGCGCTATCGTGCGAAAGCCAACCATGCATCGTTACATCAGCACCAAGGTCCTGCTGGCCGAAGGAGGGGAGTCGCCCTTCACTGAGCACTGTCGCAACTATGAGAACATGTATCGGGTAAGTACGTGGAAGAGGGCAGATGTAGTACACAGCCTGATTTCACCATTGACCATGGGACTGCTAGCCCTGGTCGAGGGGTTTTCCTTACCAGAGGTGGAAGAAAAATGTGGAGTAACTCCTGTAATGATGCAGGGCAGGCCTGAACCAGAGAGTGGAGGCCAAGAGAGATGGTGAAGGTGGGCAGAGTGCTGAACTGGTTCTCCAGTTAACTGTTCTCTTCCTTCACTCCTATAGTTCATTCACTTTGTCTCTATCCCTTTCTTCTTCGTCATCATGTGGAAAAGTTAGAAACTTTGGGCCAAATCCAGCTGGGCTGTTAAGCCGCACTCACTTGCACTAGACCTACCAAGACATTTTTGGTTGTGTCATTGTCACTGTGTTTAGGGTTCCAATGGTCGTTTGCTAGTGCCAGTGGAATGGTGATGGAGAAGGGCATCCATGCCAGCCATGGGAACTTACAAGGGAAAGTCAGGGGAGTTGGTTCTGGTTCTCTTCCTAGAAGACTTAAGGAGCTAAATCTGTTTAGCTTAACCGAGAGAAGGTTAAGGGGTGATTTGATTACAGTCTGTAAGTACCTACATGAGGAACAAATATTTAATAGGTTCTTCAATCTAGCAGAGAAAGGAGAATAGTCTAATGACTGGAACTTGAAGCTAGACAAATTCAGACTGGAAATAAGGCATAATTTTTAACAGAATAATTAGCCATTGAAATGATTTACCAAGGGTTGTGGAGGATTCTCCATCACTGATCATTTTTAAATCAAGACTGAATGTTTTACTAAAAGCTTTGCTCTAAGAATTACATTGGGGAAGTTCTATGACCCATGTTATACAGGAGGTCAGACAGGAGTACTACAGTGCTCGCTTCTGGCCTTGGAATCTGTGAAGTCCATTGGCTTAGAAGAGTTTGTCTGTACCATATATAACTGCCAGGCCTTCTGTGCCTTCAGCAGTGACCTAGTCACAAAGACTCATATATTGCCTATGATAAAATAGGGCTTTCACAGGAGAAAATAGCAGTAGCAAGAAAATCAAGAGACACTGGATTTTCCAGGTACCTTCCTCTTCTTTAACCAAACCTGTTGCCATCTGTCTCCTCAGTGTGAAAGGAAAACTCCACAATAACTCACCCCCTTTCATATTTCTAATGCAGACCCTGCAAACAGAGATTCAGAACCTGAAGGATCAGGTACAGGAGCTGCATCGTGACCTCACAAAGCATCACTCCCTCATCAAGACAGAGATCATGAGTGAGATCCTACAGAAATCCCTCCAGATGGATGTGCAGATTGCCTCGGAGTATTCGTCTGTGGAAATGATGCGGAGCATGTTTGAAGAGGTACGTTTCCTGCAGCTGGCATTCTAGCGCCCCTGCCACCAGCTCTAAGAGCAGCTTCCCTAAAGGGCAGTACACAGTGGCATTAGTGATGAGTCAGGGGGACTCGGAAACGGTTTGATGGAAAGTCACCAGCCTTTTTCTTGTTTTGCAAAGGCTCCACTCAGGCTATGGCTACTCTACAGTTTAAGTCGACATAAGTCATGTCGCTCAGGGGTGTGAATTAGCCACCCCCACGTGACATAAAACTTATGCGGAATTAAGCGCCGGTGTAGACAGCGCTATGTTGCCGGAAAGCGTCTCCCGCCGCTCGCAGGGGCTGGAGTAATTAAGCCAACGGGAGAGCTCTCTCCCATCGGCTTAGAGCGGCTACACTAGGGAGCTTACAGTGGTGCAGCTATAGCTACAATAGCCTGCGTCACTAGAAAAACGAAAAGGGACAGACTCTTGGTCTGTACTAAAGGGGCTGCTGCTGCTGCGGTATTTGCAAGTTGTTAGCTGCGGAGTGGATTGCTCTGCCAGCCTGGAATGATGGGAAAGAAACAGGCTCAGCAAACGTCCCTTGGAAAGGATACTTCGGTCCTTTATTGCAACACGCTGTCCAGCTCACTATTTTTGTTTCAGATTTGGGAGGAAACATATCAGAGGGTGGCAAATGAGCAGGAAATTTATGAAGGTATTTGTGACAGTTCTGTCCACTAACCCACTGATTCCGTGTGGTGAGATGTTCTTCCCCAACTCACGGTCTCTGTTTAACGTGCATTTGCTAAGTGGTGATAGCGGTTACAATGCTAACGTAGTCTGTGTGTGGTCATAACACATTCTAGTTTAACGGGGAAGTTTCAAACGTGAGAAAGCTGCTAAATTGCTCCTCTGCTGCTCTCTGCTCCAAGGGCTTCCAGCACTGGAATGCCACACAAAGCACAAGGCCTTGCCCCACTCAGAGAAATCAGCCTCGCTTCCCACACACGCGGATCCCTCTACCTCTCTTCCCCAGTCCTGCTGTCTTCTATCTACTACACCTCTCACTCATTCCATGCTGATGGGTGAGGCAAGAATGGTCCAGCCCAGCACCCCCTCCTCTACCCATCCCGAGCAGATTCTGTTAGAGAAGGTAAATCAGGATGGGTAACTGTCAAGCAAATCTCCACCCAGTAGCTCAGAGAGGTGCTAACACAGTTTCAAAGGACACTGTGGACAAAGCCCAAGAAGCAGCAAGAGACCAGGAAACAAACTAGAAAAACCACAGAATTCAAAAAATAAAATGTCAGCCTAGAAAAGAGAAACTGAAAAGCAGAGTCTGGAGGGAAGTCTGGATAGTCAGAGATTAAAGTATCTAAGAAGCACAGTCGCTTTGCAAATCTCTCCCATAGATGGCTGGTTAACTGCAGCATGAAGAGAGGGCAACCTCTGGTGCTTCAGTTGGTGTGGTTTATAGCACCTGTCCTGGGCTTAGCAGAAAGTTTACAAGCACGTAACAAGGCCCCTCAGAGACTTAAGAGGTCAGAGGACATGCTGGATGACTTCATAAAAACTCCTAGGACATCCGTGAAAAAACAGCCTCTGAAAGCTAAGAGTCAGGACAAAAGCCCCAATTTCTGAAAGATGGTGAATTGCTGGGTCCTGTTACAATGTGTTCCCTTTCTATGCAGCACAGTTACATGACCTGTTGCAGCTGAAACAGGAAAACAGCTACCTGACAACCATCACCAAACAGATTGCCCCCTATGTCCGCTCCATAGCTAAGGTGAAGGAACGGCTGGAGCCCAGGTAAGACAGCACAGAGCCATTTCCCCAAGAGGAGAGGCTTTGGGGGTCTTTGAGGTGGCTTCGTGTGTCTCAGTCCAGTCTCCAGTAGACTTAACCACATTTCAAAAACTCAACCAGTGCTCTTGCAGGCACTCAGCAAGGACACCCCGGAGACCTAGCTGACAGACATGAGCCACAGTAGTACAGGGAAGCTTGTACTGCCCCTGCTGATACTTTTACCTGTTCTGTGGACAGAAAACTTGCGGTTCTAGTGCTGCTCATGTCCTGTTACAAATACAGCGTACCATCAAAACCGCGGCAGCTCACTCTGCTTTTCATCTCACTTTAGACTACAAGAACCCAGGGAACTGAAGGATGACCAGACAGAGAATCTGCTCAAAATTTACGATGACAGCACAGTGACCAGCGACACAACACACAGGTAGAGGATGGGGTGGAATGGTTAGAATGCTGATGGCTTCTCTGAATACTTGATACCAAAATAAGTCAAACTACTGGCAAATTAGCTAGTCATTCTTTTCCATGTAAAATTGTCAACTAAAATACTGAAGTTAGGAAATACAACTAGGAGACTTCCATAGAACCTTAGATGCTGCAGGTAGTGTTGGGCACTGCCAGGGGGCACACACTGAACAATGTGGTCATTAACAATCACCATGCACTTTGCAGCAAAGGTAGGGCTCATGGGGAAGGAAGAGAAGGTGGTTTTGGTTTTTTAGCCAGACTGTATCCTGGCTAAATTCCAGCTCAAGCAATTTACTTGCTGAGCCCACCCCACAGTTCTTCACCACCTTCCCTAAATTTGTTTTTCTACTAAGTTTCAAAATTACAGAAACAGGATAGTATCTAAACAGAATTAATTCAGTATTCAATTACAAGAGAAAGGGGAAGAAAAACCCATCTACAGTAATATTTAAACCAAGAGTTTGTTTCTACAGACAGTCTCTAAGGGCTTAGAAGCTGCAGCTGAAGCAATGGGTGCTAAAGGAAATCCTGAGAGTTCTAGAACCCTGAGATGCTAGTGTGTAAATACACTAATTGTTAGAAACATTTGGTGGCGAGAACAAGGGGGAGAAAAAGGGGAAGGGGATTACCCTACATGAATGAGGAAAGTGACATATCCAAAGATCCTGTCGTCCACCACTGCATTGCCGCAACTGAGGGAAAACGTGGGGAAGAGATGGAACAGAGCCACTAAAAGCACATTGCAGTGCTGCCCTTAAATGCTAGCAACAATTTTACTCCACCTCAGAGGAGAATGTAGAGCAGCAGCAGGTGACATGGTCCCTGGAGTATCTTTGATGTACCTCAGAGGAGCGTGGTGAGGCTTCTTTCATTGTTTATTAAACTCCCTGTGGTCCTGGCTGTAGCCAGGTGCCAATTGTTAACGGATGGGGTTAAGCATCCCATGAAGTGGGTTCTAGCCCACGAAAGCTTATGCCCAAATGAATTTGTTAGTCTCTAAGGTGCCACAAGGACTCCTTGTTGTTTTTCAGTTTTTTAGAGAACTACTGTAATTGGAGCTTGGTTTAATCAGTGAAGTGACCTAATTAAGGATGAATCTCAGTCATCCCATGCAGACTTGCAGCATTTTACATACTGCATGAACAACAGGAACTTTGAGATATTTTATTTATTTAAAAAAAAAGTCCATGTGATTTGGGCTATTACAATTTTGCTACACAGACTCAATACAGCAAATGTGGAAAGCGTAAGAATAACATTATTACACAGCAGTAGACTGCCTAGAATCTCTCTTCTAAATAAGAGTTTGCTAATAAAATATTCAGGCCGTCTGACAATTAGATCTTTTTGTGATTTAGCCAAGGTGCCTTTTCTGCTCTAGGAACGACTTGACAAGAAGCATGGAAGACAACAGGGAGCCCAAAGTGGACAACCGAATGCTGAACATTGTCACTGAGGATTCCCTACTGAAAGACACTTACAGAACCAAACAGAAAGGTGGGACAGAGAGTCCCAGCCAGAAAGATTTTGCAACTTAGGCAAGGCAGAGTGCCAAGAAGCTGCACTGCTTTGCATTTCATATATGCAAACAAAAGACTTAAATAGGAGTTTCTCAAGTACATTTATGGTTGAGTCAGGCTGGTATGTTACAGAGGATCTATCCATTGAAATAAAGACTTGACAAGATGGGAAGGACCAGCATTTCCAAATTTAGTTTGATGAAATTGAGTCTTGAAATGCAGATTAAGGCTTCACCAATTCAGTTAATCTAAATACTGTTCTCATTACATTACCAGATGGTTTTTAATCAGTTATGGTCGGATTTCCCAGGCCAATTTCTTTGGCTATTTGTGTATTTTCAACAACGTTATACTGTATTTTTCTGCATCAATAAATTCAAACCTCTATTCAGCAGAGAAGTCCAGTATCTCCTGAGTCAGAACTCTTTGGTGGGCCCCCCCATCAGGTCAGTAACTTGTTACTGGAATTGGTCTCCTTTCTCCTTCACATGGAAACTTTGAAAAAAACAAATATTGATATATTTCACACCTGAAATCCCTTATCTCAGCTGCTCAAAGCGAACTGTAAGCTCTTGATGGTGAACCTAGAAAAAATGGAGTATTAATAAGCCTAATTTTGACATTGTGCTATCAATTTATTTTAAATGCATGAAAACAGCTAGCTCTACGTAAGTTTTATTCCCACTACCCCTACTCCCTGCCCCAATGAATACAATTTATTTAAAAGCCTAGCTAAGTAAACAATGTATTCTTTGTTAAAAATGGAATGTAGCTATTTCCTCAAAAAGAAAGTCACCTTGCATAGCCTTGAAGCTGGGTTTGGGGCGGTTATTTTGGGGAGGAATTGTTTTTAACACTTCTGCACTTTAGTGTAATGAGATCAGTAGGACAACAATGTTTTCCTGAGGTTTTTATGCTGTAGACTGTTCAGAAGTCTTGTTTTCCATACAAGATGTACACAGCTTTGTATATTAAAAATCTGAAAAAATAAAATATCAGTTCTTGAAACTTCATGCAAGTTGTTAATATAGCACGATTACACCCACCAGGGAATTCTGGGAGGGCCAGCCTGCATGGGACAACAACCTTCCCACCAGCAGACTTCTCAGAAGGTAAGTTTCAAAGAGAATATGTTTCCCTTACAATCACCACACCTTTTCAGGTTATTTTAACCAATTATAGTTTTATTTAATAAATGGAAAGAATTCTCAACATCCGCAAAAGAAAAGAACTTTTAAATATCTGTAATGAACATTTCTTCATGTAAGAAAAAAGGGTAGAGCTACTCCATTCATTTAATACACAGTTGGTCTCAGCAGGCCCAAATAGATTGTGGAGTGATTCTAGTAAAGTTTTTTTCAGCACAAACAAACAGACTTCAAACATCTTGTGATATAACAAGGTAACAATCTCCTATTGCAACAGGAATGTTGAGGTGTTTTCAAGGCCGGAGGTGACTTCCTCCTCATATTCCAATCCAATGACAAATTACCAAATAAAATAAAGACAGTGAGATCAGAAGCTACTCCAGGCAGTAAGAAAGTGCAATAGATGGACAGTTACTCTGTGCCATTATTTGGAAGTTGTATCCTGACCATCAAAGAACACTCACTCTGTGCTACAAGCAGAATATGAAAGTCAAGGAACCAGCGCAAAGTAAATTCCTAAAGTCATAACATGTTTACAAAAAGCAACAGTTTTAGGAATTAGTTGTTTACCGAGTGACTACGTTACTTTTTGTCGGACATTAGAATAAATAAATACTCAAAAGTGTTCGTACTAACCCCTCACCCCAACTGACATTATTAATAACCTAGTTTCCTTTTGACAGTTTATGCTAATCACTCCGTCCTTCACAAACCTTTGGACAATAAAAATGGAGAGGTCAGTTTCACTTTCTGGTTCTCCTGCACTAGCTTAAAATTGCAAATTTTAAACTGCAAACACTGCAGGGGATAGTTTAAATACAAGCTAAGCAGGTGACTTGAAAAAACCTATGGAACACTTCTGCGACCTATTGAGCACATACAAGTCCTAAATTTTTGGCCTGAACAACAGGATAGTGCCTTTTACCCTTGTTAGTAAATAAGGGTCAGTGAGCCAGCAATCAGATTGATTGACAAGTTTAATTTGGTAGACTGCTTTAAAATACATAGAATTTTATGTAGCCTGTACCTTACCTTGTTGGTGGTGAAGATGTTTTCCCAGGCTGCATAAATATTGTTTGCAGTAGTGAGTTTAAGTCCTTTCCCACAGGGCTTCATAAGTTAATTGCCAACATGAGACTGTGCGAACCTACCGAGGGCCAGAATGAAGTTCTTACTCACTGGGTACAGACCTAGAAGTTGTTCATTGACAACGTCTTTGATTTTTTAAAGACTCTGTGCTGCAGCATGTGCCAAAGGGGCCATTTTGATTAATAAATAAATTGAAAACCCAATTTGAACTAAAGGGTGATCTTCATTTCTTTGTGAATTCCGAGTCACCTTTCCTTTGGGAATGAGGGCTGCAGCAATCATTCCAGATATTTACACCACAGGATAAAGTACTAAGATCCCACATCTCCAGAAGTGGAACATTAGCGCTATATAAATTGACTTGGGGCAAACTTGGGATGAACCTACATGCCCTGCACAAATCTGATTTTTGTAAAAGTTCTTGTCCGGGTCATTGGAGAAGAAAGTGCTTTCACTGACCACTGCATCAACCAAGTAAATCATTTGCTGTGCCCATTCATATTCTTGCTGATAGACACAATCTAAAGAAAATGCATTCTCACTGTGACAACATGCATCCTACAAAGGGCTTATTCAACAGAACCTGAGGCTTTGTGGGTGCTAGTCAGAACCTCCAGCTACACAGATGAAAAAAGGTCTTCTTCCAACATAGCTACAAATGTTACATTTGGGTGTTGACTCAGAACATGTAGATATATCCCAAACCCAAAGGGTAACTGTAGTATCTAGGCACCAGAATTGATGTCTTCAGTGACAGGGGCATTAGAAATACCCATGATACTTCACATGAGCAAACTGTTATCCCAGGCAAGTGAAATGATGTAAAGCATACCATTTATGGAGAGTCAAAAAAAGACAATAACCCTTCCAAACAAGTGCCAATAAAAGAATAAGACTAATTTATTTAATTAATACCCCTCCATCACACTAAGTTATCTAAATAGTTTCAAGTGGTAAATTTTAGCAGCTAGGAGCCAATATGCAATCCACAAGTCTCAGTTTTACACTGAAGCAATTACTGGATTGTTTGCTTTCTGGCCACAACGAAATGGAGCACAAAAACTGACAAGAGAATGAAAGTCTCACTGTGAACAATGACTGTTCACACAAGAGGAAAGACCCATGAAATCTAGCCAACTCTCCTGCTGATAAAGTTGTCCAGCAGTTGTAGACCTATAGACTTCTGTGGTGAACAGAGGATTTTTTTCCTAACAAGGGACCTCAAACAGCAGTGTGAGAAAGATAATGTGAGCTCAAGCCTCTGACAATAAGACTAGAGTAGTAACGCAGCATAAAATGCTTAGGGTTAGAGATATTTGACCCACATAGTGTCTCACATAGCACACAATTAAGCAAGTAGTTTCTCACTGTATTGCTCTAACAGTTTGACCTAATAAAAAATTTATTCATGTAATAAACCAAGTCCCTAGTATATTTTTTCACTACCTGGCAAAACAAACCCCATACTCCAGAGCACTTTTTAAGTTTACTCTGCTGGGTCATTTTGTGATCAGCGTGCAATTTCTCTGTTCTTGATTCAGGTGAATTCTAATTAGCCCATACATGCTAGGTACTATTGCCATGTCTATACTACAAGCTAGGGGTGTGATTCCCCTGCTCACATACACATATTAATGGTAGCTTGATGAATGCTACTGCAAGGACAAATAGCCGTGTAGCCCCGAGCAACGCAGAGTACATGCTGACCAGTTCCAGGCAGGTTTGTACTCGGCATGGCTCAGCCGTGCCTCCATTGCTGCTACTCATACTACCGCGGCTACACCGCTATTTATACTTGCACTAGCTCTCACAGAGCAATGGCTAGTATGTGTACACGAACAGGGGAAATTACACTGCCAGCTCCAGTGCGATGCGTTTCAACTTTCAGTGTCAAAGTGCTTTACAAAGAAGGTCAGTATCATTATCAATAGTAGGTTTAGTTATGAAACATTTATACAATGGAAAAATTCATACGAGAAACATCTTAATAAAATAAGCGCAGTTAAAAATCCTTGTTTGTATTAAGTTTTTAACTGGTTTGAGATTTCTTCTGAGGTATGTTGGCTACAGACAGATAGCAACATTTAGAACTCTCTTTCAGAAGTACATTGGAGGCACTTCTATTGCAAAGGAAAAGCAATCTGAACAGGAATCAAGTCCTTACAAATAATTATGCAGAGGAAAGACAACATTAACCAAATAACAGCCCTGCTGATGTTTCATATCCTTTTCTTCAAGCAACAAATATATTCAGTAGGAGATTTACTGTAACAGTGGGTATTTTAACTGGAATTCAATGCATCAGGTGCCCTGAAATTTGAAGTATCAGAGGGGTAGCCGTGTTAGTCTGAATCTGTAAAAAGCAACAGAGGGTCCTGTGGCACCTTTGAGACTAACAGAAGTATTGGGAGCATAAGCTTTCGTGGGTAAGAACCTCACTTCTTCAGATGCAAGCAGTGAGGTTCTTACCCACGAAAGCTTATGCTCCCAATACTTCTGTTAGTCTCAAAGGTGCCACAGGACCCTCTGTTGCTTTTTACAGATTCAGACTAACACGGCTACCCTTCTGATACTCTAATTGTAAGTGTCAGTTTTCAATTCAGAAAGTGGGAACTTATGTTTTCTGTATCAGAACTGTGAACGTAGTCTGTCTCTCAGTTCTTGCCTCTGTACTTTGCCCTATTGTGGAATGCTGCATTGGTTAACTATTGTGAGGCCTCTGGGAGAGGACTTACTAACAGCTCAAAGATTCTGGAGACTCCCTCTTCTAGAGAGAACCCATATTGTAGACCATTCATATAAAGGCAATTTTTTTTATTGGATTAAAATGAGTCTGTAGATGAGCAGAATGATTCATTAGCTACTATAATACTATTTTAGCATCTGATGGTTTCTGCAAACTTTAGGGGTGGCACTTTTGGATTGCTTTTGAGGGGGAAGTACGTTGTCAGTTGTAAGCCATGCTAACTAGTGAATTAGCTTTCTTTGTTATGTATAAATGTATTCCCTATTATAATCAGATTAGTCTGGTACTTTAGTCACTTGTTAAAGAGTTGAAGAAAGTGCAGAATGTCTCCATGTAAATATTACTGTTTGAACACTGAAAGTGCAGCACCTTAGGGCTTGGAGATTCAGGGTTAAGGTAAATACCTTTTTAACACATAGGAACATAGGAGTTGCCATGCTTGGTAAGACCAGAGATCTGTGTAGGCAGATATTTCAGACAGGAACCTCATAATAGACAATTTAAAATATTGTAACCATAGAGGAATTTTTTTTCTTATCCCAATCTTAGTAGATGATTTAAGCGTGATTTTTTTAATATATAGCCTAATTTTAATCTTTTTTAATATTAAACATCTAAGCCTGTTTTTAAGCATACTAAGCTCTGGTGTCAATATCGTATCTTTTGGCAATGAGCTCCATAGGATAATTGTGCTGGGTGTTTTTTAAAAAAAGTTTCCTTTTATCAGTATTAAATTTGTTACCCCCTCAGTTTCATTGGTATCTCTCTGTGATTTATGAGGGCGTATATCAGTAGGAGTACTGGCTTTTTCACTCTGATCATTGTTTTGTATACCTCTGTCATGTTCTCTTGTTTCCATCATTTCTACTCTAAACACTCATTCTTTTAGGTCTCATATACAGAAAGTCTGGCTATGCCTGAAAGCACTGTGTTGCTCATCTCTTTGAATTTTAACAATTGCCTATTAAAAGCTCATTTTATATTTACTTATAAATTTCAGTGGAGATTGAACATGGCTCTTAGTATGTGCGCCCTTGGCCTTTAACTTTCCACTATACGTTATCAATTTTCCAGTAGAGACGTGGTAAACTCATAGGCCTGGTCTATGCTAAAAAGTTAGGTCAACCCAGCTACGTCGCTCAGGGATGTGGTTAAGCCAGTCTAACCTATAGGTGTAGACGGGGGGTGGATTACCTATGCCAACAGGAGATCAGTGTAGATCCTATCAGTGTAGATAGTGTCTATGCTGAAGTGCTACAGCGGTGTTTCAAGTGTAGACAAACTAAAGTGAGATGAATGTGGTACAAGAAATAGTTTTCCTACTCTAACTTTATTTACTGAATAATATCTTTACCCTCTTTTGCTTTAATGCTGTGAAAACACCACTGTGTTTGCTTCCAGTTTGATGGGTTAGTATTTCTGATATTTGTCATTTTGAA